TTTTAAACTCAGAACATGACATTTGTCGCGGTATAAAATAGAAAAAGTTGATACAATAACAACGTTCAATAGGGAAGACAGCTGCTTTAGAATAAAGAGGTCTTTTGCAGGATCGTAATTCGTAAATTTCAAAGGGATAGTTTTACTTGACATCTCACTTTGAGATGTAATACACATTCAGTATTAAAGAGATCGGATCTTGATTGCCAACGAAGGCCAAGTTCAAGCTCTAGTAATGGATGAATCGTCCTCGAATAACATGGTTAAAACCGAGGAAAATTCTCCCAGGTCGAGGTAGCAACGAGCCACAAAGTCATGTGCCCATGAATGTGGGTTTGTGATGAAGTCATCAAGAGCTGAAGGAGCTTTGTGTGTTATGAAGTCAAGAACACTGTGATGTTGAGTCACGGTGAAGCGAGTAGTCACTCGTCAATTTTTCAAACTGGAGACATCATAAATTTTGTCACAGTGATGTTAGGTTAAACTTTGTGGTAAAGAAAGTTTATCTAGAAAAAAAACACGCTAATATTTTTATTTTTAAAAAAAACATTGTCGGGCTAGTGTTGTTATGCACTTCCCGTTGCACCAGGTGTACTTTTTTTTAAAGTTTTAAATAAAGATTGCAGTATCTTCTAGACTGATGAAATTGAGAGAAAGGCGAAATTCTTTTTCTACATATGCACGTGTAACCGCAATACGTCAGCCTGCAAAATTAGCCTCTTCTCCCCTCCCTCCAAAGTGTTATTTTCTGTGCACATGCAAAACCTTGACGCTCGGGTTTTCACGGCCTTACGCCATCTTGAGAGTAGCCTGTAAGCAGGCTCTCTAGTCGAGGGGCGAAGGGAAAGCGGGAAGAAGAAAGAGGAGAAAAGAGAGATGAGGGGAGTCGACGTCCTAACCCCAACCCCGCTCCCCTCGGCGACTTCACTCTCTTTCAGTTCCTTCTCGATCTTTCCTTTTCCACAACGTGGAGCTGGATGAACAATCATAGTAAGAACTCCTAAATTCAGAGCTTTTTCCTGAACCAAACCACGCAATATCGTGAACAACACGCAAAATAGTCGAGAGAATTGCGCGTGAACCTCCAATTTTGCAGTGCCAGAACGAACAAACTGGAAGGACAAAAAGCACGATGAAATTGATGGAAGAAACATAAGAACGTCTCTGAAAGACAGACTTATAGCTTTCAGAAGGAAAGCTACAGCTATCTCTGGCTAAGCCGGACAAAGATAAATATGACACCCGTGATCAGAAACAGCATAACTTGCAACATTTAATCAAACAGCCGGGCCCGGCGTAATAATACAAAATGCAATTAACCAACATGTTCACAGATCGCCGAGGTTCTGACGCGAGACGTGGAAGTATGGTCGGTTGGCGTAAGATAAAACGAGACCAAAACTCGTACTGTAGCAGAGCTGGCATCACTATTTGACATATCTACGGCCATCTAGCGGTTAAGCTGTTAAAAAGATCCCATCAAGGTTACAATAAATGTGAACCTCTGAAGAGACTGAGGAGCTTGAGCGATTGAGTTAATTGAGCATCGAGTTAATAACTGGTATGCTATTACACCACGTGCACTTTTTTGGCATCTGGTAAAAACAAAATACCCTCTGATAGTTTCATTTAGATAAGTATTAACGAGGAACACTCTATAGTTTGATTTAAAAGCATACACCCCTTAGCGCTCGCCTGATTGATTCTCTTGGGCCGCTAGAAAGTTTATTTGGGTCGTGACGATTTCCCGAATTCCCGACAGACTGGGAAAAAAAATCCCCATCCCTTGCCCAAATTTTGGCGAGTTCCGCTTCGCTAGGAGCAGTCAAATCCTGGGTCCCGTCAAAATATTCATCGTTTTCCCGATTCCCGCACCGTATTTTGGGTAAATACCGGATCCGGAGAATACCCTTCCAGACCCCAGAAAAAAACTAGCACTTTGGAAAAATAAGAGGTGTCAAACTCTACAAATTACACGCGGATAACAGCGGAAACCACACAGACTATTTTAATATTGCCAGGGTCTTCTTTGTCGTTAAAATTTCAAAATGACGGTTACGGTGATCTTGCGTCACTGTTACTTAGTGAAGAAGTCTCTTAACGCTCTTATAATCAAGTGATTACCAAGAATCGTCTTCAACGATGGTGGTCTTCGGCCATCGTAGCTTGATTAAAAATATAACACAAACAACGTTGATAAATATTTTTTGTTTATCACCGCTGTTTCTGTTATATTTCTTATATTTTTCACGCGTCACAGGCCCAACGCCACCAAGTATCACCAAGTGTTGTTGTGATGTAACACGTGTTCCTTCTGTGCTCAGAACAACAAACATACAATTTTCATTACCAAGAGCGGAGACTACTTGACACTTGCGGTTGAAAAGTAAAACGTTGCTGTTCGTCAGCTGTTGATCGCTAATAAAAAGAGCAAAGAACAGCACACTTTTACTAGTTTCATTCGGCAGAACCAGAGCAGAACCAGAACCTAGAGCCAGAGCAATTCCAGAAAACAGTTGATACATCAACGTTTTTGTTCTAAGCTTGAGAATGTACTTTTCAGCCATTTGCATCATTTTCTGTGCCTTTTACATCCACTCAGCCTGTTGTGGTCTCATCACTGAGAGGTTGAAACTGTCTCAGGTCTCGGAAGCTTGTACCCCGGGAATCTGGACCTGTTCAACTGGTAAACGATCAGCGATTGCCAAAGTGGATGACATTTCTCAGACGGTGCAACGACCTGCTGTAAAATCTCATCCTTCGGGAATTTGGACACGAGACGAACTTGAAAGAGCTGTACAATTAACAGAGAAGGAAGACCCGGAAAGTTGTTCCCTAGGAATGTTGGTCCATAAAAAGAACAGACTGTTGAAGCAGAAGCTTAAGAGAGCACTCAAAACATCCCAACAAGATGGYRGYYTTGTAGCCAAGGTCAACCCGTCCCAGGTCTCTAATGATGCTTGTCCRCCAGGAGTCTGGACATGTTCAAGAGGAAAGAGATCCGAGATTACCAATGAAGGCCAAGTTGAGGTTCTAGTCCTGGATGAATCGTCCTCAAATAACATTGTTAAAGAGCAAAATTCTCCGCGTTTGGAGCGGCGACGAGCCACAAAATCGTGTCCCCCAGGAATGTGGGTTTGTGATCAAGAAATGAAGCGAGTATTTACTCGTCAATTTTTTAAACTCAGAACATGACATTTGTCGCGGTATAAAATAGAAAGAGTTGATACAGTGGCAACCTTCAATAGGGAAGACACCTGCTTTAGAATAAAGAGGCCTTTTCCAAGATCGTAATTTGTAAATTACAAAGGGATAGTTTTTACTTGACATCTCACACTGAGATGTAATACACATTCAGTATTAAAGAGATCGGAAGATTGCCAAGGAAGGCCAAGTTTAGGCTCTAGTAATGGATGAATCGTCCTCGAATGACATGGTTAAAGCCGAGGAAAATTCTCTCAAGTTGTGGTAGCAACGAGCCACAAAGTAATGTCACAGTAATGTTATGTTAAACTTTGTTTTGAAGAAAGCTGATCTTGTAGATATTCACGCTAACATGTTTATTTTTAAAAAAAACATGGTCGGGCTTGTGTTGTTATGCACTTCCCGTTACACCAGGTGTAC